CTTTCTTTGCTTTTAGAGTGGTTTCTGTGGGGAAACTCTTCATTGCTGAAAATGCCTCCTGCCTTTGTTTTTGGCCAGCCAGGTTTTCTCATGCTGGAAGTGGAAGATGTATGCTTCATGGTCAAATATATTGGTCTTAGTCAGTAAATACACTTCTGCACCAATTCTTGTCTTCAGCAACTTTGAAACTAAATTGAATCAAACTTGGGACAAGTCTTATAAAATCTGGAATATCTTGTTATCACAGGAAGGGGGAGGGAAGTCTTCTGTTTTACATTCTTCTACTTAAGTTTTTAAAGAGCTTAATGATCTTATGAATTTTTAATATGGTAAGGAATGTTGATGGCAAGCAGAAAAAATGAGTTTGGAGATGGAGGTTTTTCTTTGTGTGTGTGCACAGGGTTTTTTTCATTGTTATTCTGTTATTATGAAGATGGAGATAACTGAGTATATAAATCAGATTTGCCTTATACCCGTATATTTGTATTAGAGTGTGTTTTGCAGTATTTGTATTCCTGGCAGCTCCACATTGCCTGGTGATCCAGGACTGTGAAAATATGAAAGGTTTATTGGAGGCAGTTTGAGAGAGCAAAGACTTAGTGATTTATCTTGCAGTTAGAGAAAGAACAAAGTAAAATTATTATTTCTGAAGTTATTCTTTCTGAAAGGAAGAAAATAGTTATCAAGTGCTATATTAGTTTATTCTACAGGGTTTTCCCTGTTCCTTTTAAATTATTCTATGTGATGACATTGTCCTTAATTTCATCTGAAGGGTTTAAAGCATGTTGTGAGGTGAGTTGTGTGCAGATGAGTTTTACTGCTCTTCTCCGCTTGGTTTGGGTATCAGCAGCAAAATCTATGGATGTGGGAGAAGCCCAGTCCTCAGCTAAGTATTCATCTGTATTAATGAATTTTATTTCAGTACAAACACAGAGATTTGCCTTACAAACAACATAAAATGCTTTCTTTTAATTCTAAAAACCTGATGTGGCAAGCAGGACTCTTTTCTATCAAGGAGGCAATATTTCACTTAATTTCTCCTTCAGATTAATTTACCTGTCTGCATATTTAAAGCACAAGCTGTGCCATCTTCTGCAGACAGCAGTTGCACAGAGGCCTGGGTATTTCATATGCATGGCTGCTGCTGCTGGGCTTGTGCCATTCTTTACAGGAGGTGATTGCCTCAGCAGCTTCCAGCCTTTCTTTCCTGTAGTATTTTTAAAAAGCTTTGTCTGTCTGGACAGGTGAAAATGCAGAGTTTATTGAAACAGATGGCAAGTCACATTAATAATGCCCAGAACCATCTTTTGCTTGGATGTTCATAAGGAAATGTCCACTGGATTTGTTGTCTTTGCTTGGACAGCAGAAGAACAAAGTCGATAGATTTTAATTTAAGAGCTTCTTTTTGTAGTGTTTTGAATATGTGAGTTAAGCACAATTGCCTCGTTCAATGTTAATTTCTTATTCTGGGAAACGGTTGAAATGAACATTATTTTTAATTGTGAGAACAGCTTCTATTTGTGGAGAACAGGTTATTAATAGTCAGAGATCTGCAAACTTCCCTTGTGTCTCTGGGCCCTGTTGTACTTTGTGTTCTTGAGCTTCCTTAAATCTGACTTATTTTTATGGTTATGAGCTGTAAAATGAATGAAACAGATGCTTCTGTTTGGGTGTCACTGTGAGTGAACTTTACAATCTGTATTTGCCAAGGAATCCAAAGCTGCACATCAGAATCCCTCAAATGTTCCTGCCTGCCTTTACCAGAATGTCAGGGAATGTCATGGCCATTCCTGTGGAGTTTTTTCTCACCTTGCAAGGAGAGATGAGTTTGGAAATCCTCTCAAGAGCTGATTCTTCTTGGGCTGGGAAGAACACACTGGAAGCTGTGCTAATAAATCTGTGCTTCCTTTAGACTGCCTTTACCTACACATCTTCATTCTGAAGCAAATTCCTGTTTTAAATATTTGGGTGATTCCACATAAGTTGAGAAACATTTGAACTTTAGATGCCTGCTAAATGTACTGTGTTGGCATTTGCAGCTCATGCCTGTGTGTGTTGGTGTTCAGAACTGGTTTTTACTGGTTTATAAATTTTTATAACCTTCTGTCATCATTTTACAGGTAGCCACCTTCCCAGAGTTTATTTTCGTGTGTGTATAAACATACACACACATAGAAAAATAAAGCAGTGTAATGTAATTGAAGCTTTTAAGTCAGTTTTTGTGTTTATGTGTCTGACTAAGTAATAAAACTGCCCATCTACAGCTTTCTCTGACATAAAAAGCAGTGAGTGTCCCTGCTGCAAACTGGCAAGCCTAATTTCAGTGCTCTAAAAGCCTTGGATGACATCCTAGTTCACTTGAGGTCTGTAAAAGTGTTCAGCTTCTCTGTCATCTTCAGTTCATCAGCATAAAAATTCTGTAATTTTATCAGTTAAATGGACAAAGAGCTGGTAATGATTTTTCTAAGGTAGGTTTTTAATAGGGCTGTTCTGCCATTTTCTTCCACAGAATTTTTTAAGTGTAACCTGTTACCAGCAAGGTTTTTAATACCTTTTCATTGATAAATTCTTTTAAAATAATTGAACCTTTTCTGAAATGATTCATTGTTGTGCACTGCTCTTGCTTTTGAGGCTGTTTTCTAATGGTTTTGCAGTTTATTCTGATTATGCCCTGCCCACATAACACACTTGTCTCTGTTAGAGACTGTCTATGAAAGGCTCATTCTCAGCTGGATTGTGTCTCTTGGAGACTCAGCAATTGCAGAAATCTGTAATGCTTTGCTTTCCTGTTCTGCCAGCCTTGGGGTCATTGGGAATGCTGTGAGTCTGCTCTGTGTACACAGCTAGGGTGTTTCCCTTCTCTGTGCCTGTGTAATAAACACCACACAGTGAATAAAACTGGTTTTATTTGCTTAAACCAACGTGCTCACAGCTGATGTGAATCTTAGAGAGCGTAGCTCTGTTTGCTGCCCCAGTCGAGTCCCTGGCAGCTTAAAATTGAGCAAAATATTTTTAGTGCTGTGTTCTGTGTCTACATTTCAAGCCATGGACAGCCTGAAATAGCAACCTCGGTGTTTTCACTTCTCTTCACAGAGAAATAAAGTCATTGTGTTTGCCTCTCCCCCTCCCCAGCAGGTCACACACGTGGCCCAGCACGCTCCTCCAGCTGGAGCTGTGGGGGGATCTCCAGAATTCCTGTGGGAAGGAGAAAAGTTCCAAATCAGGCAGCTCTGGCTGAGTCAGAGGCAGAGCTGTGCTGCTCTGGGGGCTGCAAAACACTTGGAATGAGGAGGGTGGAGGATGGAGATGGCCGTGCCCTGTTGGCATCTTTGAGTTTGGAAGCAATAAATTCTGATTTAATACTGAAAGCACTAGCCAGTACAACATAAAATTACTTTTCTGTCAGACTGATTTCCTCCTCAAATTGCAAATTCAGTATTTTTTGCAGTTATTCTCCAAGAATTTGTGTGAATCTGTGGGATAAACAGAGCAGTTGTAGGGGTGCATTGCTGGTTCTGCACTGTAGGAATGATGCAGGCGCCTGTTCCATGTCAGGGTTACATTGGGAATATTGATTGCTGTAACAAGAGGGTTTTTTCTGGCATTTCACAACTGCCTGCACAGCAGTGATGAAAACCCTGTGTGAAAGTTGAGTACAGAAAAGGAGAAATAGCTGCACCCATCCAAGGATCTTATTACTCTCTTTAGTGGTATGTGTTGGGTTTTTAAATGAAATATCCTCTCTGGCTGTGCTGGAGGCTGCCCTTTTCCCAGGGATGCTGCACAGAGCTGATCAATGTGTGGCGGGCAGGGCAGGGCCATGTGTCCCCTTCTCTTTCTCTGCCACATGGTGAGTGTTGTGTCCATCAGCTCAGCTCCCACCCAGCTGCTGCTGCCACGGGAGGACTCTGTGGGAATCCAGAGCATCCCTCTGGCTGCCCTGGGACCCTGGCAGGGGTCAGGAACCCCCCTGGACAGAGCCCCCAGAGACACTGTCTGTGATCTCTGTCCATGGAGAAGAGTTTTCAGTCTTACAGGATGAATTACCAGCTCTGAGTGTTTGATATGAGTAATAATTAAGTGTGGCATGGGTGCAAAAGTAGAATTTTATGATTTTAGATAAGGAGTTCAAAGGAGGCAAGATGGAGGAAATTGGGTGTGTCTTGTCCTTTTCCTCCTTCTTCATGCCCTCCATGTTTCACTGTGGTGTTGGCATTTTTCTGTTGGTTCAGGCTGGGGACACACTGTCCAACGTAGGTGACAGATATTGGCACGTTATTGTAAATCCAGCCCAGGTAGTTTCTGGTATTTAATGTTTGTACCATCCCACTGAGGGCAGAGCCCCACACGCTGCCCTGCAGGACAGAGCTGCGGCAGGGCAGCAGAACATGTTAGAGATAAACAGAATAAACAACCTTGAAACCAGCACAGACAAATTATGACTTCTTCTTTGGCAGCGGGGCTGACAGACAGAGACTTTCTACAATCTCAGCATCATTTAAATATCACAGATTTCAACAGGACTGTGCCAGCATCAACCAGAGCTTGGGGAGCTAATCCTGAGCAGGGCTCTGAGGTGGACCCAAGTCTCAGCTTCTTAATCATTAATGACATTTTTTGAAGGGATGGGCAGGATTAAAAAGCAATAAAACTAGCTACTCCTTTCTCTAACACTCCTTTCCAAACAGTCCTCCATAAATCACAGTGCCAGTTCCCATTTTCTTGTCTTCTCAGTGTTTTATGTGTTCTCCTGAGCAGCTGCTCTTGCTACACTTAGGGAATGCTGCTCCAGAGGATGCTCCAGTGTTTCTTCTCCAAAGTCTATATAAACCAAACCTGTGTAGTAGCAAAAGATGACAACATCCAGAAATAAAATATTCTAAGAGCAAATTTATTAGGATGATGATGGGGATCATTGATTAGTGATCTAAAGTAGTACTTAGTGCTTGTTACTTTCTTTAACTTGGTCTTTTTTTTTTTTTTTTCCTTTTGGCTTTCAGCTCAGATCGACTGATAGAAGAAACAATAAGGTAGGAATGAATGTAAAAAATTTCATTATTTTCCATACAATCAGCATTTCCATTAAATTGTTTCTAAATATATCAGTCACTATATTTATACAGTAATTTTATTGTTTCCAGCTCCTTGGCAGTATTACAGTGAATTGCTGGTGGATTTGGTTTGGGTTTTTCTATTCAATATTGACATAAGAATGTTGCTTAAATATTTTATTCACCCTAGCTTAGAAAATTTGGGTTTCTGCTCAAAGGTGAATCAGCTTTGGAGCAGAGTGAATCTCAGCCTGAACTGTTGCAGGCTATTCCAGTAGTCAAGATGTTTCTTCTCACAGTGACACTCCTCTAAAACCAGTTTTCTGTAACCTTTCAATGTATTCAGAATATTCAGCACCCAGTGGGCAGCTGATATAGGTAAAGGATTTCACCACAACTGCTTGAAAGGTTATTTCTGTTGTACATTTATTTGTCTTTTGGGGTTCTCACATTGTTTGGATGCTTAAATGATACCTTCTCTAACTGATCTAGACATTTTAGAACTGTAGCAACACAAATTTTATGATCTGTGCCCTTGCCAAGCCAACCTTTTGCAGACCAATAACTCAAACTGCAATAATGCCCAGTTTAATGGTTTGAAATTTTAGATTATTGCTTTAAAACAAAAGGGGAAAAAAAAAAAAGGTAAGAAAGGAAGTAAGATATGCATGTGCTGACATAAATGACCAAGAAGGTGCAGCAAGGCTGTGTCCATTAAGGGCTGGCTTAATTACACACAGTGGGCTCAGGATAATTAACATGGAGGAAGAATGTGTTAAACCACATCAGTGTGCAGTGATGAACCAGAAGTGATCAGTGCAATAATACCTGAAAATGTGGCTGCAATTTCACCACAGCCTCACAGAAATATTTCTCCAGCTGTATTTGTTTTGGGTTCTAGTCCTTTCCTCAGTAAAACCTCTCCTTTATTGCCATGCTTATAATCCTACTTTTCCATCTCAGAAATGCTCAGTGTTTGGTGAATTTCTTCTTTGCTGCCACTCCAAGTAAGCAGAAGATCAAGCAGCATATGGTGATTTATTACTCTTCATATTCTGCAAAATTACATGTAATTATTTTTAATTACATCATTGACCTGGCTTCTTGATTCTGTGTCATCAGAGGAGCTCAGAACTCTCAACCTTGCACAATTTCTAATCTGTAGTAAATTCTTGCTTGAGTTGTTGCCAAAAATGTTCTACATTTTTTTTGGTACAAAAAGAGCTAGTTTAGTAACAACATGGAATAGGAAATGTAATTCCACTTATATCTGAGTTGAATTCTGCCTGTGTTAAAACCAGGGTGAATTTTTTGTTGAACACTTTTTTTCCTTGTGGTCCCCAGTGGTGTTTGGGTGTGACATTAATTGTTGGTAAATCCTGCTGCCTTCTATGTGAATTTACCAGATGGGAGTTTACCCAACTCACCAATTGTTTTATCTATTGTAACTCCAATAAAAGAGGGAATTGTGCAGAAGAAGCTGTTTGAGGACAGATTCCTTGAGATGTAATTAGCTTATTCTGGCTACTGCTCTGTCTTCAAGGTTTACATCTGCTGCAGTTCATTACTCATTTTTTAATTAAGCAAGTCAGGAAATCACGTTTTATTTCGTTCACACTTCTATTTCCTCAGGGTTTGTTACTAAGTACTGATTCCAAACACTGGAAAGCACATTTTTGTGTCTGCAGAGGCTTTTGTTGACGAGCTACAGCCACTAATTGTGAGCCCTTGCTCTGATTTTCTGTCAGGAAGAGAAGTGAGGGATCTGACTCTGCCTCTGCCTGGTCCTCCACAGAGCAAACATCCGTGCCAGGGAATTCATGGGCACCTGAGCTGCAGTGGCTCAGTAACCACAGCAGTGAGCAGGGCTGTCACTCCAGATGTGTCATTATTACTAAACTTTTAATCAATTTTTAAATGAATTACATGGCATGAGTTCTTACTGCAGCATATTTCTCTCCAGAAGCGAGTGGGATGTGATAACTTTGTACTGCAGCTCTTTTGGAACAGCATTCACTTCTCTTGGCCAGATTTAAATATAAGCAGAGATTTTGCTTAATATGTTTGGAGTTCTCAGGTTTTCATTTTCAAACATTATCACTTCTCCAAAATAACAGACCATTTATTTCTTGTTTTCTAACAACTTGTGTTTTTATGTTGGCTCAGTTGGAGTATTTTTTATAGTTTTGCCTCTACAGTATGACAAGTTTTTAGGATTTTATTGTAATTCTCTTTCTGAGGCCTGATCCATCAGTGTTTGTATATTAGCAGATTGGACTGAAGCCAGAGCAAAGCCATAGTTTTTTGGTTTTTTTTTTTTTTTAATTGTCTGCTTATGTATTTGGGCTATCTCTTTAGGTAATAATTAGGATTTAATAAAAGATAAAAACTCAGCTGCATTGAGTGTTGATTTTTAAAGGCGTGAGCCACATTTTGAGAATTCTCTCATTTCACAACCACCTTGCCAGAGTGTCCAGGCAAAATCACTTGCATTCCTGGGGAGATGTTCCTTGTGTTTTCATCTCAGGCTTCATCAAAGGAAACAATGGAATAAATAAAAGAATAAAGGAATATATAAAGGAATTTGCCAGGCTGTAGTGTAGGTATACAGTGATACATGCACATATGTGTATATTTAGAGGCACAAATATAGAAATGTATCTCCAAACAAAGAATAAGTGATGCAATCATAATTTTTACCAATTTAAACCTAGAGCTTTCATTTCTATGCACAGTCACAGAGTCCATTCCCTAATCATAGACCTTGTCATGAATTTCAATGAGCAGGTATGATTCATGGCATGCAAAATGAAGCAGAAGTTCCAGTAATATGTGAATTATTTGATTTTTAACACAACTTCTTCCTTTAGGGTTTTGTTTTAGTTCTCCAGCAGTGTAGATTTGATGGATGCGTCTCAGTGGGTGAAGCCAGGAGTTGATTTTTTGGTACATTTCCCTCAGTGACACTGGATGGATGTGGCTGCAGTATGGGGTGAAATAACAGCTTAAACATTTACTTAAGTCAAAACTCTTTGCTTCCAAGTCAGGCAGCATTAAAAGTGTATCTCTGCATGCTAGACTCGTCCATCTAGGATAATGCCTGGAAGTGTTTATTACCCTGAGGGTTTTATGCCAGTGAAAAGAGCAAACAAAGTACAAATATCAGTTGGGTTTGCTTTGGAGGGAAATTTGGCCACTCGCATACCCACGGCACTGCTGAACAATCAAGGGCAAACTTGGAATGTGGCAGAACTTTTGAGGGAAATACGGCTGCAAGCACAGGAATTTGAGATTCTCCTGCTGCTCTGGGGAAGAGGTAGGTGGTGTTTTATGGCTGTGACCTCGGGCTTAGCTGGGAGAGATTTCTCCAGTAGTGCAGCAATGCTGAGCATTGTGCTTGAGCAGGGCTTTAATATTAAATATAGAGAGCAGGCCAGATACCATCTGGTTTTAGAAACTTGGTTTACACCCAGCTCTGGTAGTTCCAGCCAGTGCAGCACTGAGAATAGTTCCTGCTGGTTTCCAAGTGAAATGTGGAATCGGGGTCATCTCCATTCCAGGAAGAAATGTTTCATCTTTTATGGTAAAGGTCGCGCGCGCGTTCCGGAACGTCGGAGCCGGGTCCTGCTGCCCCGGGGAGGCTGTGGTGGGGAGTGACTAAATGGGGCCAATATTGTGAATGGGAAGAATGTGATTAATTTTTTAAAATATGCATTTGTCAGTCAGGCAATGGCAGCAGCAAGTCAATGAACATATGTCAGGGATGGGAATGAAACCAAAATCGTCTGATGAAGGATATGAGGAAGCTGCAGTGCTCAAGATCCAAGATCAGTCTCTGGACTGATCCCCAGGAACTCTGTTTTCTGCTGCTTCTTAAATTTAATAATCTCCTTTACAGATCTGAAGGCTTAGATGAATCAGCTCAAGGGTTGGATAATCAAATTATACGTGAACAACATTGCTTTTTGCTTGAATTTTGATTTGTTAATAGTAGCTGGAATCCAGTTAAACTCTTGTTCATGAATATCACAATTACATTTCATTACTAGATTGTATCATATTAAAAATGGTAATTACCCCATTTTTTTCCCTTCAAAGCTTTTAAGTAAAACCCAGCCCTCTGAGCTAAATTCTTGAAAATACTGGATTAAAAAAAAAATTAAATTGGTTTCAATCTCTTAACCCTTTACATCCTGCCTTTTTATATGAAATGGAGAGTTTCACTCCCCAGATGTTAAAGCAGGAACCTTGTGTTCTGTGAATAATTATTTCTAAAGGCATTTTGGAGGTGGCTCAGGACCACTTTATATACTGGCAATCATCTTGTGTTTTCACTTCTTCAAATGAATGGATGTTTTAATGAGTCATTGGATGCATCTTACAAAAATATGGGACTTAATTCAGAAGTACGTTGAGAGACACTGTATTAAAAACTCATCTGGACAAATACCAAGTCAGTGTGGGGGTGGGAGATAGGAATCTGTAGATTACTGAGCAAAATTTCCTGTGTGCAGATAGGAATTTTTTTCTTTTCTAACTTGATTCTTAGTAATTCAAAATTCCCTGAGTGTTCTTCTTAACAGCGAATTTTTAGTGGTTTTGTGATTTGTTGTTTTTTACTTTAGAGGACTAAAATACCTGCATTGAAAAATTGTATGTTTGTATCAGGTGAAAGCAGCATTTCACATTTTCCTACCTCTGAAATGACAGCTTTAGTTTCCTTTTATGTTTTTCCACTTAACTTTTACTCCTCCAGAACATTTCCCCTCCATATTTAAGGCTCATAAACTCATCCAAGAACTTATTTTAATCATTGTTATTCCTGTAGATGAAGTCAACAGCAGTAGAGGTGACTTTTCTGAGTTATTATGCAGCCTTATTGTATTTCTGTCCTGCTTTATGTGTTTTTTAAACACGTGCCAGCAAGGAGAACAGTTTTTGCCATATTTTTCTTTCTCAGACACTCAAGCTTTGTAAACTGAGCAATTCTTCATCATCTTCATTTAATATCTTGTTTTTAAGATCAGAGTTGCTTTTTTTCTGACCTCCAAAATGTATTAAATTTGAAATGGGAAATTCAGTTTTGTATTGGTAAAGAAACAAAATGAAAACTTACATACCATGGGGGATATTCTTAATTAGAACCAGATCTCAGGAACTGATTCTTTCTGTGCTGTGATGGGAGCATCATTTGGGATGATACAAACTTCTGAATTTAAAGCTGAAGCCATGAGAGCATAGTTCTTGTGTCGCTTATAATACCAGTAAAACCAGTTTTCATTGAGGCAGGAGGAGAAAAGTCAAGCCCTGCCTGTTTAAAAAAAATCTGTGTTTCACGCTGTTAGCAGTTGATATGAAACTGAAATCATTTGACTGTAAAAGAGAGAGATTAATGGGAAAATTGTGCTTTCATTCATGTTGCTTCACCCCATTCATTGTCCTCTGAAGAAGCGTTGCCTGCTTGTTCTCCTCTTGTGTGAGCTGTGGATTATTCTTAGCACCAACAACTTGATCTTCTTTCTTTCCCCAGCATTGCCATGGCAACAAAAGAAAATATGACTTCACAGAGAGGGATGTTGAAGTCAATACAAAGCAAGATGAATACCTTGGCAAGTATCCTTTTTCCTAAAAATTGTTGCTGCCTGTGCCTAAGAAGAGTTATGGTACAATTTGTCACTCTGTCATCAGCAGTGTCAGTGGCTCTGTGACCTGTACTGTCAGCAGTGACAAACAGGTTTTTATCAGGCTCACCTGATAACCTGACTGAAATATCTTAATGGTAAATGTGGTGAACAAGGTGGTTTTGGTCAAATTTGGACACTGCATATAAATTAAGAGAATTTAATTTTCAGGTAGAGGTCTGCAACAGCATTTCATGCCCTTCCCTGCTGTATGTTTTTATAGAAGCACAATTTCATTTCAGGTCCTGCTTTTTGCTTTCAAAAAAGCTGAAGCTTGGTGTTCATCACTGCTTGCTGTGCTTTACAGCTAAGAGTAGTCAGGGCCTGAGTATCCTCTTGTCTGTCACACTCTTGTAAGATTTTGGCTTGTTGGTTTCTGTGCATATTCTGTCTCAGGGCTAAAGATTGTGCCACGTTGTCGAGTCAGGCACGTTTGTGGTTTTCCCACTTATTCCTTCCCTTCTGTCAATGGACAATGTCAGCACTGTTTGACCAGACACATGACATAGAAAGATGCATCTTGGTAACCCAGAAACTTCATTACAGTTCTTAGCATTTGGCAAGAACATTCCAATAACATTTCAATAAACTTTGGCCTTAAGGAGATTGGATTCCAAAGACATGAAGCTCTGAAGCTGATTGTCTTGTTGGCAGTTGTATTTTATACATTAAGAGATAGATTTGCACCCTCGTGGTTTTACAGAGCTGGCACAGTGTGTGGGTCATGCAATGTGCAGGATTTTCTCAGTCAAATGCCTTTGGTTGTTCTCTTCACTGGTAATAGAATCCCACTGAAGAAATTCCACAGATGTTTTATATAACCACCCCATTTATTTTTTTTTCATTCTCATTTAAACACAATAAGTAAAAGTAACTAAGCCTCACATACTGGAGATTAAAATGCTGGTAATTGAGGTGATCAAGTGGTGAATTTGTGTAAATGTGAGCTCTGGGCTGTTCCCTTTTCTCTGCTGGTCTGCAATCAGTGAAGTGCAGCTGTAATCCTGCTCCCTGTCCATCAGCTTTTACTGCTCCTGCTTCCTCCAGCCTGGGAGTAGTTCCAGTGTTGGCATTTCCCCATCCAGGCTTTGGGGCTTGTTGGTGAATCCCTCTTTGTGCTATGACCTTGACTCAGAGCCCTCCAAGACCGTTTTCCAGCAGTGAACAGCCTGATCCAAAGGATCAACCTCCGGAAGCGACGGGATTCCCTCATTTTGGGCGGCGTCATCGGCGTCTGCACCATCCTGCTGCTCCTCTACGCTTTCCATTGATGGCTGCTTCCCCCCTGGACTCTGCTAAACCTCATCACCACCTTCCCTCCTCCCAGCCAAGGAAAAGTGACTGGGGGAAGCATCAGACTTCCACAGCCTGCTCGTGGCTGGGGCTGTCACAATGACGTCTGCAGCTTCTGGTGGTAGACACTGACACTGGGCTTGGGCTGAAGCTGCAGTGTTTCTCCTCCCCTGCTGTTCACCTTCCTTTGGGTTAAATTTGGTGGGATTTGTTTGTCTTTAATTCCCTTTCTCACTGCAAGGTAAGTGCCCACGGGATGTTTAACCAGAACTGGAGGAAGAGTTCCAGTGCTCAGCAGTGCTGGGGAGGTTTGGTGCTGGCTGGGGAGAGGGAGAGGATTAAGTTTACCTTGTGTGGAAGCTCAGCAGGAAGGCTTTTCCCTCTAATCTCAGCCCAGTACTGAATTTCACCCTGAGAGATGAATACTGCAGCTTTAAGCCTTCAGGTTGCTTTACTACTAAATACATGTTCTGTAATTCTTAACTCCTGGTTGAGATTTTAGTTATTTCTGCATAATTCGTGCTGTGAAAACTGTGCTTCACACAAATTCCTCAAAGTTAACAAAAAAAAGGGGGGTTCCATTCACTTTTTGTACAGAACATGAATATGAAAGTACCCTCTGAGGGAGATCATAAGATTTCTTGTGGCTTTAAAGGGACTAACAAAGTCCCACTGTGTAAAAAGGGAGCACAGTGTCCCAGCAGCTGTTTACTCAAGTGTTCAGTCATCTGAAAAGTGACCAAACATGAGTTCACCTGAAGGAATCTTTTGGGTGCACACTCTCATTTTGGCTGGCATCATAAAGACCTTTAAGCAGTTTACAAAGCCTATACTGTAATTTAGGTGAAGTTATTCTGATAGTGCAGGTAAGAAGGATATGATCTAAACTGTTGATTGGAAATGAAAATAATGGTGGTTATAGCTGAGGAAAAGGTGTTAGACATAACTCCTAGCAAAGAGCTGACTGTATGAATAGTGAAATAAATGTTATTTGCCATTATCTGGGAGGGGGGAAAGCTTTTTCTTAGTCTGGACAGGCAAAAAGAACCCTGTTTGTAAACAAAGCTGAAATCTGCAGTGGCTTTGATACTGCAGCTTCCCAGATCACAGATTTTTTCTGCTCTTTCCACCTGCATATCATAAGCCAATAAATTCAAGCCTTAGCACTGAATTACCTTTCTAAGAACTTGATTAACTCTTTTCACAATCCACTTAGAGTGCTCCTATCAGATTCCATGTATTCCATCACCCACAAATGTCACACAGTCCCCAGGTTCTCCTCTGGAACAGAGTCCAGCGGGACGGACGCAATTTTTTACTTCATTTTATAGTGCCTGTGAGTTGGAGGGAATAGGGACTTGTGTGGTGTGCAAACCCACACTTTTACACCCAAAATGTCTGGATTTAAAGGCTTCTTTGCAGACTTAATAACCCTGTGCTAAAAAGTCAACAAGGGCTTTTAATCAGCCATCCTACCATTGGGATTTGGAATTAAGACATGTAAAACTGTGGGGCTCGTATTTGAAATAAAGGGTGATTATTTGGTTGATTTGGGAACGTTCCCATTTAGAGATGAAGTGTTTATTAAGGGGGTTTATGAAAAAGCTTGATGGATAAAGGAGGGTTATTAATGGATCTGTGTGTTGGGAGATCAAACTACTTCTCCCTGTTGCCTTCTTTGATTCCTCCTCTGCCCTAAGGGACCCTGATCAGCACTTGTGCATCTGTTTAGGATTTGTAGGATTTGGTTGCTCTATAGTTGGCAATATAAGATCTGCCGTACCATAAATAAATTCATTTATTTAATCTTATAACAAGTCTTTTTATTGGACTTAACTGATTATTTGGTGCATATATTTAATCTTATTGTGAAAAAGCTGCTATGGAAAATATGTAGATTGTAATAAATATGTAAACATAATGGATTTTTCATGTTATGAAAATGTTATGGAGGAACTGATATATTTTAGTATAAAATAATGGAAATATGCTGAATTATCTCTGATAAAGCTTTACTGGAAACGGTTTCGGTGTTGGCAGGCCCTCCATGGTTTTTGTTTGTGCTGGTTTTGAGTCAGTTTTGTGTTGAAAAATACATTTAATTATCTTTGGAGTTTTCCCTTCATCATCGTCTGGCAGAGTGAGCGGGTGTTGTGCTGTGCTCCCTGGAGGGGTGTGTTTGCATCTGGCCCAGGGAAAGGCTTCCAAATTCAGGAGAATCAGCCTCATAACTCATCTCTAACAACCTGGACCTGTGGTCAGAACAATGGACTGGAAAATGAACACAGTGGATTGTAGCATTCTGCCTCAAATCCCAAAATACAGGTTTGTGTGTCACCTGTTGCTAAATGTGTTCTTGGAGTTTTTCATTCTGTGTGGTTCCTCCTGCTCTGAGGAAAAAAAGATGTGGTTAAAGAATTCTCATTCCTGCAATTCCTGCCAAAGTGGCGGTTTCCTAACTCAACCCAGCAGAAGTGTGCTAAGAAAATCATTGCTGAGCACTGAAATGAAGGGGGGAAATCCAGGGTGTTTCTCCAGGACGTGTTTCACACACACAGACATCTTTTTTCAATTTCTTCTTCATTCTTCCTGCCAGATAAGCAGCTTCTTCAAACCTGGCCAGGCACTGGAGCACAAAGGACTGTGTTGGTAACGTTGATGCCACACTTCACACAGGTGGGAATATTTTTATCCCTGTTCTTTAAATTATTTTTTACCTGTTCATCAGGCTCTGGTTGCTGCAGCAGAGCAATGGCATTTGGGCAACACCCAGAACTCTGTCCACAGCTGTAGCTTCTCCCCAGGGCAGTGCCAGGGCTTTGACCTTCCTGGGAAACATTTTTTTCTTAGCCAGTATTGATTTCAGGAGTTTTGCATATCAAAGTGGGGTATAAATTACTGCTGGATTACTGAGTAATCCACTCAAATTTTCATTTGTAGTTCAGAAATCCTTTTGTTGTGTTGTCTTAAGATCAACGTGAGAAGAGTCAGTTCCTTGCTGGATGTTGAAAATTAAAGAGCAGAAGTAGATTTTAGGGTGATGTGGAAGTGTCAGGTGAATTGTTCACTGCTGTCCTGCTGCTGCACAGGGAGCTGAGGCTGCTCCAACACTTCTGATGGTGCAGCACATTTAGTCACGACTAAATGAGAGTTTTAACTCTCTTAATGTAGCAACTTGTTTCCCAAGATCACTGAAGGCATAACCTTTTTCTATTTTTACTGGTTTTATCCCAAAGCTTTCATTTGAGACGGGAAGGAGAGGGTAACAGCTGTCAGTGCTGAAGGAGGAAATGGTTCTGAAATTCCTTATAACAAAATTGGATTGTGGAATGTGCAGGACAGGAGACTGCAGTGAGATTCACAGTGAGCCACGTTCCAGGTGACATCTGCCAGTCCCCTCTGTGCCCTGCACCTCTCCTGGCACTGCACATTGGAGCCAGTGGTGATGTTTTAGTTCTGAGTACAGAAGCAGCTGTTGGTCTGTGTGGTACTGAGTGAGGAAAGCAGTTAAATAAACACTCTACACCCAAAACAAAGCCCTTTCTCACAAAACACCCCATACCTTGTAAATGAGTTTCTGATTGCACTTTCTGATTTTTTTTTTTCTTTTCATTCACATTCTTGGAACTTCTATTGTAACTGTAATTATTTTTGTTCTCACCTATTGTGCATTCTCTGTATGTATTAAATAAAAAAAAGGCTTTGATATGTAATTTAATAATAAATTAGAATTCTAAGCAAGGTGCTTGGTTCTTTCTCCCCTTGAAAATCTTTCCCTACATGAACTTCAGGGAAGATGCAGAGAGGATTAATCTCACCTCTTTGAAATTGTCCTTGGACATACTAATTGTGTGTTCTCAGGTTTTATATCAAATATCAGATGTGATGGAACCTTTCCTGACCCAAAATGGTTTGGGGGGCTGTGTTCCTCCTGCCTGCATGTGCAGTCCTGGACTCATCTCCTGCCTGGGAGGGACTGATCAGACTCGTGGTGCTTTCCCTGCTGCTCTTCACCAGGTGGAACAGGGATGGTTTTCTTTCGAGGTAAGTGTTAAAAAGGAAGATCCCTCTCTGTGAATTGCTGTTTTCAGGACAGAGGGGACTCTGTTACTCTATGATTTTCCAGCATCACTGTGCTCTGGTCCACCTCCCTGAGGTGTTCCAGTGTCGTGCCTGAAGGATCTGCCTGCACCTGGTGTTTTTGCAATCAATGCTAAATCCTTCAGTGCCACTCTAAATTTGTATTCCTAGAGCAGCAGAGCTGCCTGGCATTGTGGTACCTGTCTGTGCATGAGGCTGGGAGGGAAGAGAGGGATTTCTCCTTGCAGAGCTGTCGTGCTGTGCCTCCAAACACCGCCTTAAAGCAGAGATACATCTCTGTATCCTTAATGCCTACTAAATATTCAGGGGTGACCAGATGCTTTCCCGAGGGAAGGCTTTGACTGTATGTCTCAAGCTAAAGGAGGAACTTCAAAAAAAAAAAAACTTTTGAAGATGGAAAGGCAGTTCTGGTTCCAGACGGTGGGAAGTGCAGTGAGTTTTTCCAGTTGCGGCGCTGGTAATAAGTGGTGCATAAAATTCCATCTTCGTTTGGATTAGAAAATAAATTATTAATGGCACTGAATCCTTTTTTCCTGCTCCGTGTACAGTCAATAATTTACAGTGGCACAGGCATAGGATATATATTTTTAACCATCCGCCTCCCAGAGTAGTGTTGTTCATCCTGAGAAGTGCTGTCCTTCCTGACAGGCTGGGCGCAGCGGCTGCTCCTGCATTATGGATGAGCCCGGTGCCATTCCCCCAGCAGCTTTCCTGCTGAAAGGGAGCCGAGCTCTCCATCAGAAATTCGCACCAGTGCCTTTGTTTCCTCCCTTTCACCCAACGTGGGCGGTGTACAGCGCCGTGAACTTGATTTGGGAGTGTTTTAATAGAAAACCTCAATGTTTACAGCTGCTATTCCCATTTCCTGAATGCCAGCCTTTTATCCAGCATCTCCAGGTAGAAAAGCTGTGCTGCCAGCGCCCGTGCCTTGGCAGCTGGGCTGTGCTCATTAAGCACTGGGAGCCTTCATCTTCCCCTTCTTCCCTGCTCCGTGCTCGCCTGTCGCAGCCTTTCCCCTGTTCTTTGTTCCTAATGGGACCCTGAGGCTTTGCTAACCCAGATTTCGGAGTGAGGCAGGAGGAGCCTGGCTGTAAATCAGAGCCTCTGCGCCCCTGAAGCAGCGTTTGCCATCCTCTCATTGTGGGTTGTTTTCTGGTTGTCTTGGTTTTGGCACCCTGTGGATTTTTGAGAGGTCTCCTTGCCATCGTGGCTGTTCAGCTCTTGCATCTTGCGTTGCTTTGCTCACTGTACTGCCCTTCCAATTCTCCTCCCTTCATTCCTGGGTGTTCATGTCGACATTTCGAACACATGGATTTCTTCTTTTGTTTCATCATTTTAATTTCTTACTTTAAAATCCGTCCTTTGAACTCCAGAAGGGTTGTCCAGGGTGATTGGAGCTTATCAATCAAAGACAAACCTGAAGGAAATTCACTGATAACCACTGAGGTGCACAGCGTGGGGCTCTCCCACAAATGCTGTAAACACGGAGGGTTTCAATGTTTTATTTCTTTTCTTATCTCCCTTGCCCATACCCCTCCATCTGATGCAGAGTTCTTGGAAGTGGGGATGATATTCTTCATTTTTTGTCTTTCTAAAGCTGCCCTGAAAATAGAAGCTCCTCTCTGCAGGTTGCAAAGCCCCGTTGAGCTGCCAGCTGTACAGTGGAAACTTCCCCAAGATGTTTGTGGTGCCTGTGCCTGGGCATGTCATCTGCTACCAGACCTGTGCTGAGCTGGCTTTTCCAGGCTGAAATGCTGCTGAAACGTCAGGTTTTTAAAGGGAGCCTTTTCTAAAGACTCTGCAGGATGCTCAGGAACGTTGCAGGTGTAAAAAGAAATTGTGAGTAGCTGGGAAAGTGCTGATCAGGTGGCCCCGGCAGGTCCAGCTTTAACACACAAACCACAATTTATTACATTAAAAAGCGACTGGACCATGCAAGGACCTTGTCCCCACTGGAGATGGGTGAGAACCTGGTGGGATCCTTTGTGTGTCCCCCACTTTCAGCGTCAGGGGAGGCTGGAATGATCCTGGGGCTTGTGCAGCCTTGATGTGGGACAACACCCAAGTGCAGCAGGGGGGATATGTGGGTATTTCCCTGCTGTGCTATAAATGCAGTTCCCTCTAGGTCAGGCATGTATCACCAGGGCTAAATTTACTTCAAAATATTACTGAGGTGGGGAGGTTTGTGACTCAGGTCTATAAAAGCATGCAGTGCTTATGTAAAGAAATAAGTTTGGGAAGAGGCAGGAGGGGACTAGGGCTCCTGCAGGGACCATTCCTGGTGTGTGTTTGCCCTCCTTGCATAAACAGGTCTTTGTGCTGGGAGCTACTGCACCTCCAGTCTGTGTGTTCCTCACAGCAGGATCTGCTGGCCAGCTCTTCCTGTGTTTCCAAACATTTCAGCAAATGTTTGTAAATAATTTCCAAGCCTGCTCTGGCTTAGATGAAACTGGTTTAAAATAAAAACCAACAAACATAGTGGGATGATCAGTTCTTGTAATAGTTCAGGGTGGCATCACATCAAGCTGTGCCACTCTGTGAGGGCAAAGGAGAGATTCTGCTGTGGGGATTTTGGAATTTGGATCCTTTCCATTCGCTCAGGTGTGTGTGTGTGTGTGTTTGGTCTTGGAAAACCTGAGTTCCTGGAGTCAGCTTTGCCATGGCAGGCAAGTATTGGCAGCACCAGCAGCACCCTCAGGTCCAACCACAACCCCATCCCAGGGGAATGAGCCTCTCCCACCCCTCCCCAGGAAATGGGGTTCCCTAACTCAGCAGCCAAGCTCCTTCTGCAGCTGTGGTGCCCCTGGGAGGTGAGTGCTGGTGGTCTGGGAGTACTGGGCAGGGGAAGAAGAGCTGTTAACTCGTTTTTTAGGACAATTCAGCTTACACCAGCTCTGTTTTGCAGTCAAAAATGAAGGTAGAAATAGAGCATTGCTTTAAAGACAGGAGCTCCTTCTGTTTTACTGCTGTTTGCTGCTCCAGCCCAGTGAGGAATGGCAGCACAGGGTATCAGGGACTGGGTTATTTTTCTGCCCATTTGGAGTTGATGAAATGATCCATCTGCATTGATCCTTACTGGGAAGGAGGATAAAAGACAGGTTTTATGGAATTGTACCTGAGATCAAATAATTGGAAGAAAAGGCTTTGGAATCCGCAGTCTGTAATTAAACATTTCCAGCAGGCAGCGAGGTGCAGCGAGCTCAGCTGAAGGAGCATTTTGCTGGGAAGTCTTTGCTTTGCTTCACGCTGTGTGCTATTAAAGCAAACAACTTCACAAGCTTCAGAAGCATTGGCAGCTCTTGACCAAGAATAGCATCTCACATCACAGCTAAGCTGGAAACAATGAGGGCCAGCAGTTGTCAGTTGGTTGGGCTTTTTTAGCCCATAAACGAGGTAGCTGAGCTCATGGAGAAATCCCCATTTCTCTATTTTAGGTGTTCTAAGATGTTTCATCTTCTGAAGGATCCAGCAACAACCACCAGAAAGCAAAAGTCCTCATTTAAAGCAAATCTGCTGGTGCAATTCCCACTTACCTGGGCATGCCAGGCTCTCCTCCAACACATAAATCCTAAATCCTCACCACCTAACCCAAGCTTGTGCAAAGTCTACCAAACATTTCAGATGTGACAGAAACATCCACCACGTGGGATTGTGTGGAATCCCCATCCCTGGGAGGCTCCGAGGCACCTGGGGACGTGGTGAGCATGGCAGTGCTGGGTTGGGAGATCTCAGAGGGCTTTTCCAGCCCCATGGTTCCATGCTGAGGTGTGCTCCTGGTCCAGGGGCTCTGGGGGGACGTGGAGCTGTGCCTGTGTCACTCCCACTGCCTTTGCAGGGCAGCAGGGACAGCTTTGGGCTGGGGGCAGCATGCAGAGCTGCAGAGCAGCTCCTGCCTGCAGAGGGGAGCTGGGTCTGGGTAGGGAAACAGGGAGATGGAGCTTTTCAGCACCCTCACAAAGCAAATTCATTTTTTCTCTGCTCTTTTGTTGTTGTCTACCAGGGGTGTGTTTGGTGAGCTGCTTCAAATATTGAAGATGTCCACAATACATCCAAATTTCATCTTTTTTTAAATCTCTGCAGCTAAGAAGCTGTTCTGTAAGCAGGGAGGATTTGGGGTGCAATCTGTTCTTTTTGGCCCAATGCTGGGGCAGCACCTCTGCACACCAGAGCCAGGATGCTCATCACAAAGTCTCTCTGCAGCCCTGAGCTCTCCCCCTGTGGCTGCTGAGCCCAGGGCTCCATCACCTCCCAAATGACTTCCTGAGAGGCTTTGAGAGCCCAAGGAATCCCCAAGCTGCTCATTCTCGACAGCAGCCAGCATTAGGAGCCAGAGAGAAAATGGAAATGCTCTCCCTGTGTTTTTAATTCCTAGCTCCTGACTGGAACCAAATCATGGAAACCAGTTGAGGAGCTGGTGGCCAAGTTTCTGTCCTTTGCCTGAACCCCAAATTCATGCAAATTCATCAGTGAAGACAAACACTGGGAGATGAAGGGTCAGCCCACAGTGCTCAGCTGAGAACGTATGCAACGTGGAAATTGGACATGAACCTCTTGCTGTTCCTGTGTGAATCTATTATACATGAGCCCATCAGAGCAGGGTATTAATAAAACAGGAGCTGGAGAACTCGGCCCTGCCTTGTCTTCAGTGAACATCAGAGCCGGGGCTGGCGGCCTTTGAAGTCTGGGGCTGCATCTGGTGACGTGGCCAGGATGCTCCGGGGGAATCTCAGCTCTGGAGGGGAATCTCTGCACGGTGTGGGGGTTTCAAATCCTCCTCCAGGACAAAGCCATTGCTTTTTGCTCTTTTTTTTTTGCCTTTTTTTTTCCTTCTTTTTTTTTTTTTTCCTGCTCGTTCTTCTGGCTTGCTGAATTCTTTAGGCAGCGCACAAAGAGGGCTGAAGATGGCTTAAAGCAGCCTCAGACATCCTGTGCTGGGATGCTGGAATGCAAATGGCATCTGTTCCTTCAAAGTTGTCCCCACCAAGACCTCTCCTGTGCCTTTTGTCGCTCACAGGTAGCACCAACCCAAACCCTTTTTCTTTTGCTGAATCATGGGGAGTGAGTTACACTGGGCTTTCCAAACATCTGCATTTTGTGTCTCCATCAGGACAAATAAATGTGGCTCTTCAGACCTGCCCTGCAATCCCAGCTATGCTGCCAAAGCCCTCGTGCAGGCAGTGATGCCTCTGGCTCTGCTGGGTGGGGAGATGCCGTGGCTGAGTGACAAAGCTCTGTGCAAACCCAGCCTTGGTGTAAAACAGGAGTAGCTGAAGTGTGGACCTGCATGGCTGTGAGTAATTCACACTGGCTGCTGGCCCTGAGAGGTTTGAGCAGCTGCTCTCTGAGCCCTGGGATGTGAAGCTGAACATCAAGAGCCCTGGCTTGGGTGCTGTGACAAGGGGAGGGTGTTTAGGAGTAAGAACCAGCAGATTGAATTAGACTGGGAATGGATGCACTAAGGAAAATGGCTTAATTGGTTCAAAGTGGCCCAGTGAGCTGCAGAGCTGGGGAGGGGGATAGTGCAGGGCAGGAGGAGGCTGTGGGGTGAGCAGCTGAGCATGGTGATGGTGTGTGGGGGCTCTGGAGCAGCTCTGTCTCCCTGGGCAATGCTTGGTGCCATAGGAAACCTTAAGGACAGATCCACTGCTGAGCCTGACTTAGAGAGGCTGGGCTTTGTGCTGTGGGCAGCAGCTGATCCAGAAGAGCTAATTCCTGTTCCTTGAATTAGTGTCTGAGATGCTCGTGAGGATAACACTTCTGTTCTTCATGAGCTCACAAACATTTACTCTCCATCCTCTCTGGCTTTGAGTACCTGTGGGGTTCATTTTTCAGTGCCCCAAAACCCTGCAGCTGCATCCTTAAGGAAGGTTAAGTTTGTCAGAGCGAAGAGGACAGGCAGGCCAAAGATGGTCACAGCAGAGGGGTTTGGATCACAGGGTGGGTTTGTTCACCCCCCAGCTGCACACACGTCCTAAAGGTGCCCACAGCAAGTCCAGCCCTGGATCTGCTCCACTGTTTGCTGCTGAGTTTTTGGGTGGCTCTGTCAGGGAGGAGATCCCAGAGCCCTCAGGCTGGAGCTGCCCTGCCTGTGGATGTCAGGATGTGCTCCAGGCAGGGACACCGAGCCCGTTTGCTGCTGATTCACGCTGCAGGGTCGCCCTCTGTGCTCTTCCATCGCAGGCACGGCTGCAGGTGCAAGTGCTGTGTCCCACAGCAGGGCCTGCAAGGCTCATTTTTCATCCTTGTGGTGGTGGCTGGGAGGGGAGGAGCTGTCCTGGGGCTGTGGGACTGTGCCACCTCCTCAGGTGAGTCTGCAGGGTGGGACAGGCAGCTCCTCTGCAGGGTGGGACAGGCAGCTCCTCTGCAGGGTGGCACAGGCAGCTCCTCTGCAGGGTGGGACAGGCAGCTCCTCTGCAGGGTGGCACAGGCAGCTCCTCTGCAGGGTGGGACAGGCAGCTCCTCTGCAGGGTGGGACAGGCAGCTCCTCTGCAGGGCTCTCCAGGCTGGCTGGGCTGGGAGCTGGGCTGCCACTCCTTGCCAGGGGCTGCCAGGGATGGGCAGTGAGAGGAGAGCTCTGGGATGCAGCTGAGTGGAGTTCTGCAGTGAGGATCAGCCACCCTGACTGACCAATAACACAAATAAACCCTCCCGCTGACCCAGGAGCCTGAGCAGCCTTCCAGTCTGGCTGGAAAAACTCCTGGGAAGTTTTTGGTTCAAACCAGCACAAGGCTGCTCTGTCTGCACCTCTCCCTGCTCTGACTTGTGCTGTTTTCTTTACTCCTTGCCTGTACATATTATTTGCAGCCCACTGCACCCAAAATACCAACTGGTTGCTCTCAGAGTGTGAAGCAATCGCTGAATGAGTAGCTTGGATATTTTTTTTTTCTAATTTAGACAGAAGAAACCAGTTCAGCTTTGACCATGCATGTTACATTTTAATTTTTTTTTTCTCATGCCAAGAAATACAAAGAAAGTATATAAGATATACCATACCATCCTGCAGAAAAAGAAACATTTGTCAGCCAAGAGAAGCACCCAGCTGCAATTCCTGCTGTGTTCATGCTGTGTGTGAGCTGTGGCTCTCCCGGGGGGGGATGGACCTTGCACTTCCATGCCAAGGATCAAGTCCTGGCACCTCCTAAGGGCTCCCAGGTGGTATCAGGGCTGCCTTGGTGAATCCTGCACACGTTCCCTTTTTGATGTTTCTTATCCTGGATGTGTATTTACAGGTTGGGGTTTTGCTACCTACTGGTGTAAATGCTTTACAAACATTCCCACTTTGAAAAGGCTGCTCTGCCCCCCACACCCCCCTGGATTTGTGCCCAGTCCAAACCTAAACCTAACTGGTTTTTGCCAAAATTAAAGGCTGGATACTGAAAGGGAAACGAGCTTAAATCTGAATAATTTCATTTAAAGGGCAACCCTGGCTGTTGTTCTGTGACGAGTCACAAAGCGACAGGGCAAGGGTGGGGCCAGCCCAGCGGTGCCTTTCTGCAGCCTCTCCCTGGGCTCGGAATGGGCAGAAATGCAGATTCCATTCTCTAGAAAAGGCAGGATCTGCTCTCTTTAGCCTACATGGAGAAATGTGGGGGTCAGACCTCCCTGCCCCCTTCCAGCAGAGCCCAGAGATGAGATCTCATTGCAGCAGGACCTGTCTGGGGGAAAGGAGGGACAGAGGGAGGGGGAAGAGCTGAGGGACTCAGGGGAGCTCTGGGGGTGGGATGCTGAGGGGACAGCGTGGTAAAACCAGCAAAGAGCAGAGGAGGGAACTGGAACAGGGTGAAACACCAGCCAGAAAAAGCAAACCCATCCCTAACACAGCAAACTTTGAAGCCCTTTGGTGCCTTTCTTTCCCTGCTGGTGCTGCTGTGACCCCACTGACTCAGGCAGACCTTTCCTGCCCCTGGGTCACTGCATCCCACCAGGGGCTGCTACAAAACCAAGTTTGTTGCTGGTTCAGCTTAAAGCTTCAATCCAGCAGCCAGCAGCCCTTCTGTGCCACCCCACAGAGCCCAGCTCTGCCCCAAATCCTGGCAAAGAAGGCCAGGGACAGCAGTGCCAGGGAGGTGCCAGCAGCCCCATGCTCTGCTGGGAGGCTCCTTCCCCTGGATTTCCATCCCACCAGGACCTGTCGATTGTAACTCCCACTCCAGCTCACATTGAGAGGCATTTCCCACCTTCTCCATCCCTTCAGAGCTCTCCTCCCACCAGCTCAGCTTCCCTGGCAGGTAGGGCTGGATTGTCACCGTGCTCTCACCTTTCCTGCACCAGGGGGGAGAAGTTGGCCAGAGCCTGAGGATTTTGTGCCTGTTTTAGTTGCAAGCACGGAGAATTCTGATGTGTGTGCTCAGAGGAGGCTGCAGCAGGTGGCAAAGAGCTGGAATAAGGAACAGGGATGCTTGGAGGGGCTGGAGAGGAAAGGGCTCATGGCACAGCTTTTGTGGTTGCCCTCCTGTCTGCTAAAAGCTGAGTTAAGGAGAGTTCCCTGGGGGTGGCTGAGCCTGGTGGCCTCAGGGTGAAGTTCTGCCATCATCAACCTCACTGTGACCCTGCTCAGGTGAGGGCTGGGGGCTCTGCAGCCTCCTCCTGCACAAATATGAGCAAATTCCACCCAAAAAGAGCCACAGAGGGAGCTGAGCTGGGATAAAACCGTGGGGGATGGGGAGAGCAAAGTGGCAAAAGCTTTGCAGAACAGGCTGCAAAATGTGTGGAGAAATTGATGGGGGAGAAGGGACTTGGTGGGTGTCCCTGGAGAGTTTATTCCTCCAGCATTGGAGGGGCAGGTTACAAGCACAGTAAATATTTTGTCAGGGGTAACTGTAGAGGGTTTCCTCTGGAGTGAAATGCAGGATAAGAAGAAAAAAAAAAAAAAAAAAAAAGCTGAGTTTAAGGGTACAATTGTATCTCTTCAGGAAGATTTTAGAATGAAAAGGATTCAAGTGACTTAGTCCTTCTCTTTTGCTGTACTTAATAGTGAGGGGAGAAGCATCGCCCAAGCTGTCCAATGAGACAGGAGGCACAAACAAATCACCACCCTGGGGTTTTTGGGGAAATCTTCTGCCTTCTCCTGCACCCAGGGGTGTCCTGGTACCTCCACTGCTCTGCTGGCCTGGCCTGGCAGCTCTCCTGGCAAGGAGCACTGCAGCTGCCTCACAAAGCCCCTCCTTCCCCTGCCTGCAGGAATCCCATTTGGAGCCACAGTGGGGCACAGTTTGTCCAGATCCCACTGAAAAAAACCCCAGATTCCAAGGAAATCTGTGCTCATAGATGGTTCTGTTAAGGAGGAGGAAGAAAAGGGGGTTGGTTTGGGAGCTGCTCAGTGCCTGAGCATTTGCCATCCCTGCAATTAGAGCAGTAATGTGAACCCACCTCATGGGGGGTGGCAGGGTTAAATCCTTTGGATGCAGAGAAGCACTTTAGATGAAAGGCTTTATATAATGATAAAAGAGCATTTAAATCCTTACTTAATAAACGCTCAGTGCTCTCAAGTCCTATAACTCCCTCCAGCACTTTTCCCTGAAAAAAGGACCCTTCCTGCTCAAGGAGGAGCTTCCTGGGCTCTTCCCATCAGCTGAATTCCAGCAGCTCCAAGGGCAAAGGGCAGGAGATGCAGGGACAGGCAGCACTGCCCTTATGTAGCTCCAAAAATCCCCCCATGTATCCCCCAGCAAGCAGCTCTTGAGTCCAAGAGTTAAAGAAGGAAACATTTGGGGGATTTGATGGGATTTCAATAGTCATAAGATGAGTTTGAACATCCAAGGGAGGGGTTCTGAAGGGCTCAGGAGGAAAAGATGCAGTTCCTGGATGGAGGATGGAGGAGGGAGCTCCCACCCAGCAATGCTCAGCAGCCCCTGTTTGCTGAACTCACAAAAGATAAATTGCAGAAGAAAAGTGGCAGATTTGGTCCATTTTAGGTGCCAGCAGTTTGTGATGGAGTGCTGGCAAAGGGGTGGATGGGAATGGAGCCCGAGAAAGTGCTGTAGTGATGTGCTATTGCTGTGAGCCCCTGGCATCCCTTTTAGAGGAGAGAAAAACGTTGACAGCGTGTCTGGGGGATTTGGCTTTCTCACCCCCTGGATTCAAACAACATCTAGAGGAAAAAACCACTTGGAAGAGGAGCAATCAAAAAGGTGACAGGAGAATTTTCACAGAGATGCCCGTGGCTTTGCACATTAGCTACTACAGAGTAACTACAGCGTGGATTTACACTTCACCCCTACCCAGCAGCCCAGGGAAGGAGTCAGTGCCAAGCAGTTACCGCGTTGTGAGGTTTCTTTTAGTGGATTCTCCATGTAGACAAGCCCTGGGAAGCACTGAATTTGCTCTAAATGTGGGGTGTTTTTCAGGAGATTGCTGTTAGGGAGCAGAAGTGCCCTGCAGGACAACATTTCTCAGCCAGTCCCTGTTTTTATGTCGCAGGTTGTCAGCTGGAGGCAACAGAAAGGTCGGGCAGTGCAGCTCTTGGTCGTGTGTCCCCAAAGTTTGGATCAAAGAGACTCAGGGAGCCAAAGGACGTGGCCAGAAGTCACAAAGCCTGGCTGAAACAACAGGCAATGGAGCTTTGCATAGTCTGGGTGGGTGGGGAGAGGGCCAAGCCCAGGAAATCCCCACAGCAATGAGGGGAGAGCAGGGAGGAGAAGGGCTGGGGCTGGATGGAGCATGTGGGGATTTGGTCCCACAGGGATGGGCTGAGGGAGCCGTGTGCTGTGGAAGACCTGGCAGGGCCTGTGGTACCTACAGACAGAGTGGGAGGAGCAGAGTCTTGTTTTCTTGTTGCATTAAATACAAAACATTAAAAAACAATACAACGACTCGAGGAACTGACCCCAGGCAGCTCTGGGGATGCCAGAGGTTTTCAGAGCTGCAGAAGAGCTGTGTAAGGGGTGCAAGGAGAGGAGCAGGAGGCTAAAACTCCTTCATGGCCCTGAAAATCTCCTGGGAGGCCCTAAGCTGAAGCCTCAGAGGGTTGGGGGGATGAGCACTGGCAGTGCTGGGGGCTGGATCGACATCGGGGTGTGAGTGGGAGAAGGGGCTCTCCGTGCCCTGGGCATCACCAGGCTCTTGTCTCAGTGCCAGGGGTGCTAACCTCCCTTTGGGTGCACAGAGAGCTGTGTGGGTTCACAGGGAACGCCTGATTTTGCCTTCCTTTAAAAAGCCCACCATGGGATGGGGGTGAGGAGGAGTCTGGGGTTCTCATGCAGCAACATCCTCCTCTGCCAGCTCTGAGATCTGCCCTAAGTGATAAAAGAGCTTGTAGGAACAGACATGGAGAACATTCCCAAAGGCATGCAAATGGTCATTGTCTCTTTTTTTTTTTTCTTTTTTTTTTCTTTTTTTTTTTCATCAAAAATACAAAAGCACCCACCACATCCTCCAGCTTTGGCAGCTGCGTTTCGTTCGGAGCAGAGCCGTGGTCCTGCTGCAGCTCCGCTCTCCCTCCTCCTCCGTGGAACAGCTCTCAGCTCCTGATGGCAGTTTGAGCTTTGTTTTGTTTTGTTTTCGTAGAGACAGAGATTTTGACGATTTAAAAACCAACAACCCCCCAAAAATCAAGTGACTTTGTTCCAAAATTCTCAGGAGGACTCCTCAAAAACGTCCCGCTCTCGCCTTGTATTTTCCTTCCAAAACCAGCTTCCTTCTGGAGACTCTCTCCTCCTCTTGCACTTTAGTTGTCTCCCCGCTCCGTGAGTTCTGCTGGAGGGGAATGAGGTAGTGGATTTCCCCTTCTCCTCTCCGTGTGGCCTCTCCCATTGCTGCTCAGGGTGATTTTTATCCCATCCCTCGCCCAGGCTCGCTCCCAGCGGCGGTGAATCGAAGCATGCGTTCCTTCCGACGGCGCTCCAGAGCAGACTGTCTAGGGCTGCCCACCTACACTGTGACAATTTTTTGTTTTGTTGCAAGGCTGAAAGTAAAAACCCCAGAAGGAAAGTTGTCTTCCTCCTCTTCAAGGTATTTGCATGCTGAAACATCTTCTAGGAAACTGTAAAAGAAAGAGTGGCTTAGGGCAGCTTCCAGCAGTCAGCAGATGTTCCCCTGATGCTCCTGGCTCGGCCTTTGGGTGTGTCTGAGGTGCCTGTTTGCCTGAGCTGTGCTGATCATGCTGGTTTGGCAGATGGGGTTGTGTTTGGGAGGTTCCCAAGACATTTTGGGATTGTATTTCTGGGCAGGTTGATTTGTGTCCTGAAACCTTTCTGTTTTTACAACACTCCTCTCTTCTAAACCAAACCACAAGGGAAGGACGTTTCACCAGGGAGACCCTGTGTGGTCACCAGGGCCCTTTGGACAGCACAGGGAGGGTTTTCCATGCTGGTCATGTGGGAAATGTGTGTTTGTACAGGAAGGAGCCCGTTCTCTGAGGTGTTTTTTACGTGTGTGTGCAGCTGGTGATGGTCAAACCAAGCTGGGCTCAGCGCCCTCCCACTGCACTTAGGTTGGGGATGAGGGGCAGGTCTGTCCCATCCATCCCCTGGGCTGGAGCTGGCTGAGGGAAGGAGAAGGAAGGGTTACCTCTGACGCTGAGTGAAATGTAGAGCACGATGATGATGGTCCCCAGCACGATGGAGACGATGCTGAGCAGCCTGGCCATGCGTCCCAGCCGCCGGGCGCCGTCCGTGTCCCCTTGCTGCCCGCTGTTCCTCGACTGGGGAGGCACAAAGAGAGACCCTTGAGAGAGGCAGCAGCTCTAGGGGTGACTCCCTGCCTCTAGAGCCCCAAACTCAGCCCTGTTTTCTTTCCTGCTCCTTTAATTAGCCATCACTTAGTTCCCAAGTTAAAAAGTGAGGGTTCCTGGTGAGGGAGAAGCACGGCTGCTTGGGGCAGAGCCTCCTGACCCTGCTGGGAAGGATCTCCTGGGCGTCCTGCCCTGGCTGGGGGAGCACCCAGCACTTAGCAGAGGGCAGCTGGGAGAGGACTCGTGCTGGAATTACTCACCATGTGTCAGCACTTGCTGCCAGCCCGGCCCTTGGGACCAAAAAGCCTCCCCAGATTCGTGCAGCGCCCTTCTGCTGCCCCCAAAACCCATTGGGAAGGGGCTTTGGAGGGAGGAAAAGTGGGTGAGGGGTTTTAAGGCCTGTTGGTGACATTGTCACCTGGCTGGGAAAGTTTGGAGTGAGGGGAAAGAGAAGGGAGCCCAGAATCCTTGATCCAGTGGAGGAGTTGGGCAAAACCCCCCTAAACCTCACTGGGAATGGGGTTTTATTGATGATTTAACTGCTTTGAAGCAGATACTCCTACTTAGAGGCTGCTTTTATTTATTTAACACTTTCACATGGGTTAAAGGCTTCTTTCCCTGGGCCATCCATCTCCAGCCAAGCTGCCTTGGAGGAGAAGAAGAGGCTCTGGAGCAAGCTGTGGGTTCAGCAGCTCCCACAGCCCTGTGCTGTGTGACAGCTCCTCCCTTTGGAGCATGGCTGCTAAAACTGGGGAAATTCTCCGTTAAAAAAAACCACCAAGTGTACTAGTTAAAAAGAGTTAAAGGTGGAAGTGGATTAAAGCAATCCCAGTTTCCTTTCAAAAAATGTGTATCTCAGAAATAGCTGTGGTGGAAAGGATCCCCTGCCTCATGTTAAAAAAAAAAAGAGTAGGGAGGTCTAGTCCAGCTCCAAAAATAATCCGGAAACATCACAGAGAATCTGAACCAATACTTGATTTTACTGCCCCATTTCCCATTCATCCTGCTTTAATTCCACTGCCTCTTGGCAGCACCAAAACATCCCCAGCCCGGGCTGTGCATGGGCAGCTGCTCTGTAGGAAAAACGCAGCTTTGGATGTTTCCATGTGCTCCTCTGGGTTTGTGTCACCACGAAAATAACACAGCAGAGCCTCAGACAGGAGGGTGGCTGCTTCCTCTGCCCCCCTGCCAATGTCCTGCCCCGCTCAGGAGCCACCCTGGGCATCCCTGTCCCCACGGTGGCACCAGGAGTGCTCAGGACTTTGCTCCTCCTGGGCCCACCAGCAGCTCTGCCAGACCCGCTCCGACAGCGATGGGATGCAGCCAAGAGCTATTTTCATCCCAGAACAGGAGGTGACAAAATGAAGCCTCATGGGTTGGTGGTGAGAGATGGGGAGGATGCAGGAGCCCAGGGATCGACAGGATCCCTGCCCTGCTCACTGACGGCTCCAGCTCTGGGGATTTGGGTTTTCAGTCTCTGGTTTTTGTAGCCAGTGTAACATTTTGGCAGGGTGTGGGTTAGATTGCAGTGAAATTTGCAGATTTAGCTGTCTTCAGGGCAAAATACATAGGCTAAGGGATTCAATATATTTATCACTGCAACTTCTGGAAGTGTTTACTGCTCATTTATCCTCAACAATTATGAGAAACACATCAGCACTGGCACGGGGTGTTTAGCAAGAATTTGGTACTGTACATATATTATTAATCAGTGTAGAACAGTTTGATTATAGCTCTCTAGTATCACTAATCCCCTGTTTTGCTCTCCACATAAAAACATTAACATCTTGTTTATTAATGGAGGCTCAGCAAGGCAGAAGAGCTCCACAAGGCTCGAGGGCTCTGGGGCAGTGAGTCACTGGGGGAGTGGCAAGGGACTCCCTGCTCCAGCCCAGAGCTGGAAATCTGCAGCACCTGGGCCAGGTGAGGCTGGGGGACTCAGCAGTTATTAATTTCACCTTTTTCCCACTGCTAGCTCTTCCAGTTACTGCTCCAAATGGGTTTTTTTCCCCTAAGTGGCCTTGTTGCAAATGAAGGCAATTACTTTCCTGTGCTAGGAAACACACAGGGATGGGGAAGACAAATCATCCCATCCTCTTTCCTGCAATCCTTCCCAATTTATGAACTGCCTTTGGATGCTCTCTGCTGCCGTCCACCAATTACTCAGAATAAATCATTAATCCTGGACACTTGGTGTTTTTGTTGAAGGAAACATTCCAAGGGAGGTATCAGTCAACTCCAGAGTGAGACAATAATGGGTGAGGATAGTCTGACTTCTCATACATCTTTTGGCAATGACAGAACTTATTTTGGATACCAAGTGCTGTGCAGAACTGCCCTTGATGTTATTATGTGGTGGTTCTGGCTGGATTTTTTCTTTTCCCTTCGTTTATTTGGAGTTTTGTACTCTGGGATGTGACTCCTCTGCTTCTTCCCCCGAAGTGGCTGCACTTTGGTGGGCAGAGGAGAGGATTCACAGCAGGGATGCAGGGTGGCTGTGTGCTAGCCAGCCCTGCCCTGCACTCCCAGCAGATGGATCCCAGGGGATGGACACATCCTTGTCCACCAGTCCCACTCTCTGCTGGGGAGTGACCTGAACCCTTTAGAACAGCCAGATCATCACTTTTTGGGAAAAACACATCCAAGAGTCTGTGAAGAAGCCTCCAGGTAATTAATTTCCACAAAACCAGCGTTAGCATGAACAGACTGGTGGGGCTAGAGTAGGGTTTTTTTCCACCTCTGGCCATAGGCCCTGCTGGGATCTGAGAGCAGCTTTTGAAAAATGATTTATGAGACACTAAGCTCAAAAGCATTCATTTTCTTTCCTCTCTGGACGCTGCTTATTACCCAGGGGAAATAAAAAAAAAAAAAAAAAAAAAGGCTTTCATGTGCAAAAGCTTTGACTCAGGAAACAAAAGCACAATTGCAGAGCTAAAGGAATGTCAGCACATTGTGGAAAGGTCCTCCTGTTTCCCCAGGCGATGGGAATCACAAAAACCTGGTTCCTGCTCAGATCTGTGCATGATCAGGCACACCTGGGCTTTACTCTGAAGAAGACCTGAGCCTGGGGGAGCCTTAAGGAGCTCAGTTCCTCCCTGCTGTAAGCAGGTGAAACATCAGCCTGTGCCCTGAGAGCTGCTCCTGCTGGCAGCAGCACCCAGCCAGATGTTCCCTGGTTCCTCAGGGAGGGAGGATGGATGGATGGATGGATGGATCACTCCTCATCCTGCTCTGCTGGTGCCTGTGGAGGTCCCTGGCTGGCAGGTGGGTGTGTGGAGGAGGTGATGGTGCAGGCAGGGCTGCAATAATTAATTAAACCGCAGGACAGAGAGTGCAGGGGCCACTGTGCAGGGGCAAGAGGATGTGCACTGGCTTCTAATGTGCAGCGTGTGCCATTAACCTCGTCCAGGAGAACAAGCTCAGCTGAATGCACCTTCTGCCTCCCCTTCCCCAGCTCTGGATGAGCCCTGGGCAGTGCTGCCTTGGAAGCAGAGGGCAGCTCAATAATCTTCTTGCCTTGCTGGTCCTGCTTCCCCTTGGCTGTGACAGTCACCACACCCCGGTGCCTCTCTGCCTGGCAGGATGAACCAGCTCCTGCTCTTTTTCCACTGTAAACTCTCCTCCACGGGGCTCGTGTGGCCCAAGGCACACCCCCACCACCCTGGAGGCTCTGACGCCTGCAAGGGACAGTGTGAGGATCTATTTTGCATGAAGGCTAATGTGGCTGGAAAATCCCCGTGAGAGACGTTGTTTATTACCAGGGATGTGCAATCCCCAGCTGCTTTCCCTCTCCTTGCAGTGCAAAGCCAAACAAGGCTGGCTGGCTTTCCCTGGATGCTGCCTAAACAGGCTGTGCCACACAACTGTACTACGCAGATGACAGCTGGCACTGGCAGAAACGATGATTCCTCCTCAAAATGGAAATTGGTCTCCCTAGAGGGCTTTTTGTGGCAAGTGCCCGTGCCTGCCTTCAAGTTGTTGGTGGTTTTTGGGGGAAGAGATGGCTGCAGGTGCCCCTCAGTGCATTTCTGTGCAGTAACGGAGCTGATTTTCAAAGAAAAGATTTGCCTTTGTTGCAAATCAAAGGCATAGAAGGTGCTGGGTGTGTACAAGAGAGCAGCATCTGCTGGGAGGGGGGTGGCTGTGCTTGTAGGGCTGAGCTGCCTGAGCCACCTGTACCCGAGATGGGTGGGAGGCCGGGCTGGCTTCCTTCTCCCCTGCTCGGCTCTTGGTGGATTTGCTGAGGTGTGGGGGATGTTTAATGGAGGAAAATCGCTTCTCCGGGGCGACTAAAGGAGCTGCAGGTGCAACCCGTCCCTTTGAAGTGCCTGAGGCCAGGCAGCAGCCTCCAGCCAGGGTGTCCCCAGTGCTGCAGGGCTGGGCTCGGAGGGGCGGGGGGAGATCCCTCGGCAGAGCTTCGCCCCGCAGCTCCTTGCCGGGGAAACCCGCCGAGCGGTTCTGGACCGCTGCCTGGCGGCAGGGACCGCGCTTCCCGGAGCCACCGTTCTTCCCGGAGCCACCGGGAGCCCTGCCCTGGAATCCCACCCCCCTCTCCATCTCCATCTCCATCCCGCCGCCTCCTTTTCCATCTCCTTTTCCATCTCCATCCCGCCGCCTCCCCGCATCTCCATCTCCATCCCGCCGCCTCCCCGCGCCCTGCCCCGGGCTCGGTGCCGCTCCCCGCCCGCCTCCGCCCGCCCGCGCCCCCCGGACCCGCACCGGAGCGCGCTGCGGGAGCGGAGCGGGCTCCTCCCGGCCCGGTGCCGGTGCCGGGGGTGCAGCACCGCGGACAGTTCCGGGGCGGCCGTCGGGGCGGCGGCGGGGGAAGCCGCAGGAGAAGCGGGCGGGTCCGTGCGCCCGGCGGGTCCCGCACTCACCATGATGGAGAAGACGAGGCCCACGATGTTGATGGGCCAGACGGGGCAGAAGCACGAGAAGATGGCGAGCACCAGGTAGTCCCGAGGGCGGCCCTGCTCCGGGGCCGCCGTGCTGGTGGCCGTGGACGAGGCTCTGCCCAGGCTCAGCCGGGACGGCGACAGCGGCGGCGCCTCCAGGTGCCCGACCGACACCGACTTGTAGCCCAGCCCGTGCCCGTTGCGCTCCGTCTCGCCGGGCAGGGCTGCCGTGAAGGATTTGGAGCCGCGGAGGCCCTTCTCCTCCCGGCCCTCGGTCGCCGACAGCAGCTTCTCCGTCTCCTGGAAGCGGGTGGGCAGCGCCGTGCCCGAGCCCGGGCCGGTGCCCCCGGGCGCGGAGCCGGTGCTGGCCATGGCCCGGCGGAGCGGGCTCCGGCAGCGCCCCGCCGCCGCCGCCGCTCTGCGCTCGGGGCCCGCCGCCCGCGGGAGGCCGAGCCGGGCTGGCCCCTCCTCCGGCTCGGCCCCCGGGGCAGGATCGGGCCGGCGGACCGCCCCCGGGGTGTCCCCGACCCCCCTCTCCTCGCCCCGTTACCGCGCTGCGTGCGGCGCCGCGGCCCGCGGGGATGCTGGCGGGGATGCGGGGCGGGGCGGTGGGAGAGCCGGGGAGTCCCCGCCGCCTTCAGCCGAGCCCAGCCGAGGCTCTGTCCCGCCCCGCTGACCCCCAGCTCTTCCCGGGGCTCCCACGGGCTCCGTTTCGCTGCAGCGGTACGTGAGAGCCCAGCCCCGAGCGGGCTCCGCCCGTACCGGCGGGCTCGGGGCCGGTCCAGCCCCGGAGGTGCGGGGGACACACAGCCCTGCTGCCCCTGCCGGCTGCCAGCCTTTCCCCGGGCAGGCAGGCGGGGACATGCGACACGGAGCGGAGCCGCGAGCCCCTGATCGCTGCCCTGGGGCTGGGCAGGGCTGCCCGGAGGGTGACGGGGGCTGGGCGGTGTGTGGGTGCCCGGTGGCACCTCTGGCTCCAGCCGCTCTGGGACCAGCCGTGCCCGGGGCTGGGGCTGGGCTGTGCTCGCCCTGCCCTGTGGGTGACCGTGGTGACACCACAGCTGGACACAGGGACACCAGATCAGTGGCATACCGTGCCCCTACACAGAACCTGCAAAGCAGAAGGGGTGTTGGTGCAGTGTGAGTTACACCTTCTCCATCCTTGGGAGCAGGGATGATGTGAGGGCAGGAGGGGGGCTAAAACAACCCTTAGCGCCTGGATACCCAGGGAAAATGGATGTTTTCCATCCATTGTGCATTATGCTTCAGTGCCAGATTTGCCAGGGGTTTCCCTGGCATTGAGTGCCATCTACGGGGCACACCCAGCACCTCCTGCCAGGCAGGACCTGCTGCCCAGAGCTTTATCCCATCCTGCAGCCTCCAAATAGAATGAGGAGCCACAGTTTGCGAATGTGGAGCTGGAAGCAGTGGGGTGGCCCTGCTTGGCGGGGTTTCACGGGATTTTGATTCCCTTCCACTCCTGCCCCTGTGACCATCTGTTTCCATCTGCCTCACTTCGGCTGACCACCAAAGCTGGTGAGGGAAAACCAGGGAGATGCACATTCCTGCCTGGGTTAGGGAGTCACTGAAGCATTGCTGGGCTCTCACTCCCCGTGTGACAGCTGCTGACAGGGCAGGGCCATGCACTGCTCCAGGGAGAGGCACCCAGAGCTGTAGGGAGAAGCAGGATTCCTTCAGAGGAGCGGCTGCAGGCCTTCTTCTGGCGAGGGGAGCACCTGTCAGAGGCTGAAGCCAGGATGCCTCACACCACCAGCACTTTAAAGAAGCTCCTTTGCTGAGCAAAGAGCTCTCTCTCCTGGCTGCCACCAGTTTTCCTCTGCTCCTGGACCAGCTCCCATGTCCCACCAGGGATTAAGGAAGGAGGAGGAGATCCCGGTGCTCAACAGCAGGAGGTTGGGATGGTTGTTCCAGCACATGTCCCCGGGCAGAGAGAGAGCTCAGATTGCCCCTGGAATGTTGGTAGCACCGGGGTGGGAGCAGAGGGGCTGGAGGAGCTCTGCAGGGCTCAGCACTGCGGGAATCACACGGTGCAAACGTCCTGTCCCAAAACCTGCCAGCTGTGGTGTGTGTGTGGCTGTAAATCCCTGCCTGATTCCTGCAGCAATTCCAGTTTGCTGAGCCTTGGGCAGGAGGGAGCCCTCGCAGCTGGTCCAAGCTCTGCAAGCCAGAGGGAAGGGACAAAAGGGACCTTTTCAGTAAAATTCCCCCTTCCTCCCCTCCACGGGACTTGGGGAGTGCGCTATTGGCCTGTCCCAACAGAGCCACTTCACTGGGATCAGAAGGAAACCGCAATTGGATGGGTGGGTTTTATGAAAGCCGACATCTGTCTCCCCTCCCGGCCTCGCAAATCTGCCAGGCACAACCGTCTGTAGCAATGAGCTTAGCGGCAAAAGTCGCAGGGCAGTAACCTTTCCCTGCTCCTGCTCCCCTCCTTCACCGGCGGCAGCCAGGGGCTTTAGCGTGATCCCCGCGGCCCATCTGTCCACCCCACACATATTAACACCACTGCCCTGCTGCTGGGTTTGTAACTCGTGTTTTCCCTCAGAACAAGCAAGAGAGAATAAATAACAGCGGCGATCAGCAGCAGTGAGATAAGAAACAGAGCCGGCACTTCCCGAGGAGTTCCCACCTTCCCGCAGGGGGAGACACGCAGCAGGGTCCTGTCCCGCGTGTCGGGGGCTCTCTGAGCCCTCCAGCAGCGCTTCCTTCCCTCACCCGGCGGTGCCTTCCCGCTCCCCCCATCGTCCCACGGCGGGTCAGTGCGTGGGGAGGCACTGCGGGTGCCCCCAGCCCTGGCAGTGCCCCAGCTGCCCGGGCACGGTCCCGGCCGGGGGTTCCCGCAGGATGCCCGGGGCTCGGTGCTGGCGGGGCGCGGGGATCCCGGCGGGACCGGGCACACCGCGGTTCTCCTTCGGGCTCTGGTAGTGATGGAGATGCCGCTGAGGGGAAAAGGCAGCGCAGGGAGGGGATGGAGGACGCTGTGTCCCTGCAGGAATGAGCTCCCAGGGCAGCTGGGGGTGGCCGCCCTTCAGCCCCGGCTCCTGCGGAGGGACCCCGGCCCGGGCGCGGCACTCGGGGTGGGCGCAGGGCCAGCAGCAGCCGGAGCAGCGCAGGGACAGCGACAGAGCCGCGATCCTGTTGATGGCCCGCCGGAGGGTCGCGATTTTAGAAAGCCTTTTGCCCCCGAGGTCGTGCTTGAGGGCCAGCCGCAGGGCGTTGAAGGCTTGGTTGTAGTCCAGAATCCTCTTCCTCTCTCTGACATTGGCAGCCATCCTCCTGGCCTTGGAGCGCACCGGCCTGCTCTTCTTCCTCACCTTCATCCCTTCCGTGTCCCCTGGGCTGGTGTCTGCTTCCCTGCCTTGGGAGACCCACAAAGGCTGCCTGTAGCATGCCTGGGATGTGTTCCTTGCTTCCAAATCCTCCTCGGAGCCGTCGGGCTCTGGGCCCCCTTTCCCCATGGCAGCAGGAGGGGGAGCGGGAGAGGAGCTGCAGTGATGCTGCTCCTGGGAGCTGTGGGTGACACTCCTCCAGGGACAGGCAGCCGCCCCTAAAAACCTTCAGCAGGGCTCATCACGTGGCTGTCCCGACCCTCCTCACCTGCGGCAGGTGAGGCACAGGGAGGGAGAGAGCCCAGCCTGCCCCTGCTCTGAGAGGCACCAGCGCTGCGTGCCCAGAGCTGCTGGTGGGATGCTCACAGGCCCCCGAGAAAAGCACCTCCACCAAGCACACGTTGTTTTAGTGTCTGCTGGAGCACTGCAGGAGTTCCCCCATGCTGCTCTGCCTGGCAGGTTGGTGGCTTACCCTGGGACAGGTCATCCCAGGGCTCTCCGTGGTGCCCTGTGGGGCATCACCACCCTGGCTCTTCCTTCCCCCTGGCACCTCTGTTCTTTCTCAGCTAAGGGAAACTGAAGCACGAAATGGTGCAATTACTGAGGAAAGCAGCAGGTCTTGTGCTTGGGTACAGGAGAAGACACAGTCCTGGTGAGCTGAGAGCATCCCTGGGGACAGGGGGAGGTAGGGCCTGAGCAGGAGCAGACCCCTGCAGGAATGTGCAGGGCTTGGCACGCCTCTGCCCTGCGGAGCAGGAAGCAGGAATGTGGCAGGGGGGATCGGGGCAGGTGATAAAAGAGCTAAAATGCTACCTGCCTGCAGAGCCTTCCTGTCCCTTCCCAGCAGCCTGGGGGCAGAGCTGTCTGGGCCGGCGCTCCCGGGCCCGCCCGGCACTTAACTTGGGGAAGGCGGTGCTGAAAGCAGCTCCTTGTTCCCTGCATCCCCGAGCTGGTGGGATGAGGGGCTGGCCAGGTGCAGCAGGTCCGGAGGCCATGGGCAGGGCCAGGTCCCCAACCTCCGAGCAGTGGGGGACAGCCACGTGTGTTTGCCCATCACCTCATTAGCCAGCAGTTGCTAAATGCCTTCCTGTGCAAGGAGCAATGCTTTGAAAAATGGCCCAGGAGTGGCTCTGACAAATTGTTGGGGTGTCTGGTGCAAAAGCAGAGCTTTGGGAGAATGTGCCTCTTCCTGCTTGATCCTTCCCTTCCTATCTGATCATCCCAGCTCATGTTTGATCAATAGCCACAATTAGTGGGGGGTTATTTGTCTATTGCCCTTCTCCTCTCCTGGCTCTTTGAAGCTGGAGCTAATTTAGGTGCCTCTGCTCCAGGAACCCAATAAATCAGGAGCCAGGGCCTCAGGGACAGGGGAGGATGAGGCAGCAGCACTTCAAGGGCAGGTGAAGCTTGCAAATATCTTTGAGCACTCACCTGTGCTCACTATGACCCCCTTGTTCTCCCCAGCATCCCTCTCACCTCCCAGTCTCTCTCTGCCAGGAATGGAGGCTCCCCAATCACTGATTTACCCAGCAAGCTCAGCTCGGGAGCCAGGGAGGGTCTTTGAATGCCAGCAGGACATAGAAGTCAGACCCACCTAGAGATGTGCCTGTCTAAACCCAGCTAAGCAGGACAGATCCCTGCCAAGGGGGTTTTATTGCTGGTGCTGGAGGTCAAGCTGGGCACAAAGCCAGTCCTGCCTGGATGGCGCTTGGGCAGGGGCAGCAGTCCTAAAGCTGTCCCCATCCCACCCACAGCCCCTGGGAGATCCTTGGGAAGCACTGCCAGGGCTCCTGGGTCTCTGGGCAGCCCTGGCTGCGGGGATGCAGCCCCAGCTCTCGGAAGAAGGCAAGGCCAGGCCATAAATCATGGGGCATCTGATGCCACCTGTAATTAGCACATCCCGCTGGGCCATCCCCACCTCGTCCTGGGCGCTTCCGACCGAGGTGCCCATTCCAGGCTGGGAGGTCAGCGGGAACGCCCACCCAGGCCCTGCTCCCCAGTCCCTGCTGATTTATCACCGTGTGCTGGAGAGATTTATGGGCTGAGATGGGGAGCCAGAAACGTGTTGTGAGGCTCTGCTGGGCCCATCTGCCTGACAGATGATGAAAGAGCCGTAATTATCTGTCGCCACACGTATATCAGGCCATTCATGGCACTCCCCAGCCTCCAAGAAGGGGTTTGGCCCTCGGGGACTCCCCACCTCCCAGCCTGTGTCACTGTGGACTGGAGCACTGTTGGGTGCTGGGTACCTGCCTGTTGTCACAGCTCTCCTGCAGAGCCCTGGCCTGGCTGCCACATCCACCCAGCACCCCCAAGCTGCTGATGCTTCCAGGTGAGAGCTGCTGGAGCCACCGGGGAGCACAGCCCTGGCTGGAGGTCAAACCCTGATGGAGTGAAGAGGTGTGGGAATCCAGGGCTTCCCTCTGGCTGCCCTGGAGGGTCTGGGACCCTGGCAGGGGTCAGGAACCCCCCTGGACAGAGCCCCGAGAGACACTGTCTGTGATCTCTGTCCATGGAAAAGAGTTTTCAATCTTACAGGATGAATTACAAGCTTTGAGTGTTTGATAAGAGTAATAATTAAGTGTGACACGGGTGCAAAAGTAAAATTTTAGGATTCTAGATTAGGGGTTCAGAGGGGACAAGATGGAGGAATTGGGTGTGCCTTGTCCTTTTTCTCCTTCTTCATGCCTTCCATGTTTCACTGCAGTGTTGGCATTTTTCTGTTGGTTTAGGCTGGGGACACACTGTCCAACGTAGGTGACAGATATTGGCACGTTATTGTAAATCCAGCACAGGTAGTTTGTGGTATTTAATGTTTGTACCATCCCACTGAGGGCAGAGCCCCACACGCTGCCCTGCAGGACAGAGCTGCGGCAGGGCAGCAGAACATGTTAGAGATAAACAGAATAAACAACCTTGAAACCAGCACAGACCAATTATGGCTTCTGCTTTGGCAATGGGGCAGAAAGACAGAGACTTTCTACAATCTCGGAATCACCAATACCCACAGATTCCGACAAAGAGGCAGCTGGGGGGGCTGCCCGGCTCCTGGCACTGTCCCAGCACCATCCATCCTCCTTGGCAAGGCTGCACCAAGAGGCATGGACGTGCCAGAGCTGAGAACCAGCACAGGCGTGCAGGGAGGTGCCCATTCCTGGTGACAGGGGAAGGAGGAGGCGGCTGTTGCAACACTACCTGGGCCTGCAGGTAAATAAATAAGGTGCTTTGTTCCTGCTGGGGCACGGCCAGGTGGCACAAGGGACACGGGCTGGTGAGTCACCCGTGCCCACAGCCGCTCTGCAGGGCACAGGAAGAGGCAGGGGAGAGGCACTGAGAGGCCTGGAGGCACCTGTGGGTGAGATCCTTGCTCCAGTACCTCAGCCCTGCCCTGGCACAGGTTGGAAAGCCACATCCTGTGGAGTGGGAGTGAGCCGTGGGCATGTGCTTAAACACAGCACACGTGGCAGGCAGTGGGCAAAAGCCTTACTTGGGCCTTCACAGAATCCCAAAGTCATTCCAGGTGGAAAAGCCCTCTAACTGAATCCAAATGTTAACCCAGCACTGCCTTGTTGCCACCAAACCACCAGATGCCACATCCATGTTTTTTGAGCATTTCCATCACTTTCCTGAGCAGCCTCTTCCAAAGTCTGACCATCCTTTTCAGTGAAGACACTTTTCCTAAGACCCAGTTTAAGCCTTGAGGCTGTTTCCTCTGGTCCTGTCCCTTGTTCCTTGGGAGTAGAGACAAACCCCCACCAGGAGTGTGTCAGGAACCCTTTCAGGGAGTTGTAGGCCTTCGTTGCCCACCACAGGAACCTGTGCCTGCCGCTCCATGTGCCAGGAATGGCTCATCCATACTGAGACCAACAGGGCTGCCAGACTTTCCCTGGCCAGAGGATGAGGATAGGACACACAGAGCTCTGCAGCGAAGGCCTGGGCATGTAGCAGATGTGGAAGGCACAGGAGCCACCCCACGGCACAGGCGCCTTTAAGGCTCAGTTGTTCCTAGCTTGGGGAATTCCCGGAGCACCTGGGATGGATTCTGGCTTAGAATCACCTTGTTACTGCCCTGAGCTGCACACACCGGGCATTCCTTCAACCACATCCCCGTGCCGCAGCTCCTCGGGGAGACCCGGAGAGAGAAGTGGGAGTCTGTGAGCTGCAGGAGCGCAGCACCCGCACGCTGCTGGTGTCCCCATCCTGTCCTGTCCCATGCCATGCCATGCCATGCCATGCCATGCCATGCCATGCCATGCCATGCCATGCCATGCCATGCCATGCCATGCCATGCCATGCCATGCCATGCCATGCCATCCCGTCCCGTCCCGTCCCATCCCCGCCGCTCCCTCCGCGGGCCGCCGGGGCCGGGGCCGGGGCCGGGCCGGGGGGCGGTGGCAGCGCTGCCCCCGCCCCGGCGGGGCCGTGCCGTGCCGAGCCGAGGCGGGGCGGGCCGGGGGCGGGACCGACGTCAGGCCCCGCGGCGGCGGCGGCGGGGGGCGGAAGGCGGCGGTACCGGGGGTACCGGGAGGGAATCCCGGCTTTGGGGCGGGGGATGGCGGCGGGCGAGGCGGCCCGGGCGGACTTCGCGCGGCACTGGCAGGCGCAGTTCCCGGGGGAACCGGAGCCCCGCATGGAGCTGGGCTCGGTGCGGGCCATGGAGCGGGAGCTGGAGCGCTGCCGCCGCCACCTGCGCCGCCTGCAGCGGGCTCTGGCCGAGGAGCGCTTCAAGGTGGGTTACCTGGAGGCGGCGCTGGCCCGGGCCCCGCCGCCGCCGCCGCCGCCGCCCGCCGCCCCCCGGCCCGCCGGCAGCTCCCCGGAGGGCGGCAGCGCCGGCAGCTCCGACGCGGAGGACGCTTCCTCGGCAGGTGGGTGAGGAGGAGCCGTCCCCGCCCCGCGGCCAAGGGCATCCCCGGTGCTGTGCTCCCGTGTCACGGGTAAAGGCGGTCCCAAACCCCCACCCGTGTCACACTCGCGGCTGTGACTCGGCACGGGAACCCCAGCCGGGAGCGTCCCGTGCAGAATGCCCAAACTCATTTTGCCATCCCCATCACACGGCTAATTGTGCCCTTGTGCGGTCCCCGACCAACGCTGAGGTCACCCCAAGGTGCTGTCTCCTCCCTGTCCCATTCGCAGGG